TCTATGCTAGCAACATACTATTCTGTCATGCGGGCTTTCAGGCCATGTAGAAAAGTCTCAATTTAAGAATTTCCCTCCAGGAAAGGCATAAATGAATATAATTTAAATGTCTTGCTAAAGTTCTCAATCATGTCCCTGTTACCACATCGATAACTACTTTACCCAAAAGTTTAAGCTTATGTGAAGCAAAAGTGTATATCAAGCAATCCTAAGAACAGCAGATGTAAGTTGAAATAATGCATGTGCGAAATTGAAATTGTGCATATTTTTAGCGCCCTCACCAATTGTGCATATTTTTAGTGCCCTCACCTCAAGCAGAGGCTCCACCATCTTATCTTTAATATATTCCAGAATAAAACTTAACAGATCCTGTCAAACAAATTGAAAAGAATTATAAATACTGGGAGGTACAATTACATGTATTATTAAAAGAAGTCCGAAAAATTAGAGGAAATCCAGATGGCAAGCCCCTTATAGGATTTAACTGAACCCCGACCATGAACCCTTTACCCTGAAAAAATATTGAAGCTCCATCAAGTATCATAGACAGATAGTATGTTTCAGTGTAGGTTAAGCATGGAAACTTACCTCAGCTTTATATCCTATGCAAGATGCAAATGCATACTCAAGATCAGCACCTGTGAACATCCTGAAAAAATAACCAAACATGTATAGTTATCCAAGGAGGCGTAGAAAAGAACAGCCTTCTGGTCATGCCAATGACACTGACAATGAAAATCAATGGACTTTGGCACAATGGCTATCCTATAGATTATTAGACTCTGATTGGCATGGGAAAAATCCAGTACCTGCATTCTGTGCACATGCCCTTCTGGCTTTGGAGGTCCTCATCAATTATAACATTGTAGGGGAAAAATATAATCCAATTTGGAAAGCAAGAACCGCTAAATAGAAAAATTGAAGCACTATCTCAATGAACTCATTACCATGATGATGATGATGATGATGATAAATCAAATATTGAACTAAGGATGCAGAGGCATTTAGTAGGTTCTTAGATAAACATGCAACGTCTACGATTCCATTAAATAAGTTCAATTCACTTTATACTCAAGATCTCAAATGTATTGAATCACAAAAATTCTTCAACCCGCAATAAATAAAGCCATAATGATAATTTTTTAAAGATAATTTAAATAATAAATGTGGTACATACATGTTCAAGAGTTTTTTCATGATATTGATTTTGAGATACACCTTGCGCAAGTAGCTTATTCACCCTACCACATGCAGGCCATGCGCTTCTGTAATAAGACTCGTCCACAAAGCACATAAAGTATGATTTGTCATTGCCCTGTTGAATAGAATCTGACAGGATATGTTCAAGATCTGAATCCCTTCTTGCAAAGGAGTCACAAACAAAAGTTTGCGTGTAGTCGAGATCACCAAAAAATAGTTCATATACTTTTTAAAAGTAATAAAGTAAAATATTCTCTAAATATGTATTTAGATTCATACAATAGAATGATAAATTTAAGCTAATAACTGCATAAATATTCAAAGCATGCAATATCAAACAACTATATGTGCATATGCTTATAATTCATAAATTATCCTAACAAATAATCAAAGCATGCAATATCAAACAACTATATGTGCATATGCTTATAATTCATAAATTATCCTAACAAATAACATTCATCAGTTAATCACAAACAACTATATGTGCATATGCTTATAATTCATAAATTATCCTAACAAATAACATTCATCAGTTAATCAGCTTAAAAGCATATTAAAAGTTTGGGCTGTAGGATGACAATTGATGAAGCTGTGTCATGTGAACAACTGTCAGGCATGGTGCTTTTGTTTCATAGGTTTATATTAGAAAATTTCCAAGGTTATATGTTATTTCTATGTTAATGCATCCAATATCTTCACAGCTAACTGACTGGGGGTACTATAAGCTTCAAGATCAACTTCATATTCATAGTTTTGAGTGAATTCTCTTACTTTTTATGTAACATATACGGTGGTCTCTTTTGTGCAAATCACTTATCATCGTGCATTATATGTATGTTCTTTGTGCATTTTTAGAGTTTGCTGCATCCATATGTTGTATGATGTTTGAGTTCGTTCTTCTTAGGTAACTATTAGCTCGTAGAATCGAGCACCGCATGGCACACCCCTGCACTTAAATATTTGGCAATAATAATACTTCTTCCATGTGTCCAAGTCTCTTTTCTAGTGGTCTCAAGATGTATAATTGTATTCTTGAGCCTTATGGAACTAAAGAAGTCAACATTATGCATATATGAGGAGATATGCAGGTATTTTTAAACCTTCACGTGTCCTGGGGAGATCCTGGAGATCTTTAGGATTTTTATGAGAGCATTGTATGTGCCTAAATTGGGAATTTATCCCTATGGCAAATTTGGAGGTTTAAAGCCGGCTCAAATTTATCATATGGATAATAGCAACATGTTGCGCCCTGTGTCTGGGTGCTGTGTTTCTTGGGTTACAGGGGAAAAAATGCTTGAAAAATTGCATCTTTAGTCTTCAATAAAAGTTGGAAATTGATAAATAGCCGGTGCTTAGCTATATGTAATCTAAAGACTGAAAGGATTGTCATCCTAACTGCTTATAGTGCACTCCAATTGTCCTTCTTAGTTCCCAATAAGAAAAAAACAGTTGAATTTTATGACACTTCGAGTCAAAAGGAATACCAAATTAAAAATTCTCACTCCATTGCAAATAAAACTACAAAATCTTTCCAACATGTCATGTTTTTTTAGTATGAAGTGGAGTTGTGGAAAAATTAGTAATTAAAATTTTAAGGATTTCATATTAAATTTTCATTTAATTTAGCATATTTCGGGAATTGCTTATAGATCAAAAAACAATAGAGAATTGCAGATTTAACTTACTTGAAAAGTGAAAAGAGCTAAATGTATTTATTTTCTTCTTTGATGTCTGCCTTTATTAGTTTATTACAGTCCAAGAAATGCGCGGAAAAGTGTATAAGGCAAAGGGACATGCTCATTGTTTTTTCAGATACGAAACTGAGAATGATGACCACAATGTTGACAGTTGATTACCTTAAATCCTAGAGGAAGAGGCAACAGGGACGTATAGAGGATACTAATCACACAAGTTAAACAATTAAACTCATGCAACTAAGGAAACATCATTCGGATTACATAAACAAGAAAAATGCATGCATAACAACACATCTACTTATAATCCTTTCTCACAAAATTGGAATGTTCATCCACAAAAGAAATTGAAGTGTATAAAATTGAAAAGTCTCATTCCTCAACTTCGTAAAATATAAATTTACAAGCTAAAATTGATAAGAGTGTATAAAATTGAAAAGTCTCATTCCTCAACTTCGTAAAATATAAATTTACAAGCTAAAATTGATAAGGAGCATCGTTTCATTAGGTTAATTTAACAGAATTCAACAGCAATAGAAGAAATGGATATCTTAAAGCTGTCAATTTATCGATAACTTGCAAATTCAAGAAATAATCATCAATATCAGGCTAAAAAATGTTCTCTTTTTACCGAATTCAACAGATGGAAACCGCAAAAATCAGGTTTTTGAAGGTAGAAATAGCTTACAAGTAGATGCATCACTGGAAATATGAAGGATAGAACTCGTCGTTGTCACCGGCTAGGGTTTGTTCGTGATCATAACCGATGCCCAAAATCTGAGAAGTGAGGAGATGATGGCAGAGGGGGTGCGGTGATGATGAGGATAATAATACTCATCGTTGGCAATTGATGATTTAAGAAAGTGGGGTGGCGTTGCCGAAGGAGAAGTGTAACTGAAGGTGGATGCTAGAGCGAATTCTTAACCGACGGGGTGGAAAATGAAAGGAACGATGGCAGAGGGGGTGCAGTGATGATGAGGATTTATTAACTCTGTGAAACGATAAAAATGTATAAATTTGTTATAATTATAATAGTTGAAGGGTATTTTGAAAAAGAGAAAGTTTTTCTAGAACTCCCTCTTTTAAAGGATATATATAATCTTATTTTGCCAAGCATCTGCCCCAACCTAATCTAATGATCTTATTTTGCCAAGCATCTGCCCCAACCTAATCTAATTTGTAATCAGGCCCACTTTTGTTAGCCCAAACCCAACCCAAAACTAAACATTACCGCGTGCTTTCACGCCCGTAGAGGGCCGGGCAATCTGCACCAATTAATGGGCTCAAGTAAAATCCCATTCTCTGAAGCCAATGTTTTATTTCTCCCTTAAACCATTGATTTATTTATTAAGAATGTTTTTTTGACCTTAAGAAAAGTCCCTCCAGGGTGGCGAAATGTTTAGATCTTCAATGATGACCTTCGAATTATTATTATTATTATCATAAGAGTAACAAGTGGCAGGCCAAAGTGAACCTGTAGTTAGATATATACTTCTTTAAAAGAAAATTAAAAATTAAAGAATCATGATAACTAGTTGCTACATATTTCTCATCCGACAGCGGGGATCAAGTTCCACCTTGTACAAGAAACACGTTAAGTTTGAGTTATATACAGCTTGCTGTGGCTTGCACCCTTTTTTGATTTAGGTGACTATGTATATATATGGAAAATGTTAGAGGCGCACCTCCTAATCACACCACCAACCACACTCTTCCTTCACTACAGTGCACTGGGTAAAAAAATCTCAAGTGAACCCCAGTGCACTGTAGCTAAGCACCGTTAATATCCTCCAAAACTTTATAGTACAATAATTGATTGATTATTTTATTCTTTGCGCTTGGAGGTCGAGCCACAGGTTTTTTTTCTTCGAATCGGGCTCTTTAAAAAGGCGATCGTATAAAGGCTTCAGACGAAAACAGTGGGCAGGGCAGCAGAAAGAGAAACATGAGCATAAACGCCAATTGACCCCCTTGAATTATCAACTAAATCCGCGTCATTAGTTGATAACAATCAGCATTATTATTTTTATTTTATTTTATTTTATATTTTTATTTTTTGAGCGGTGGAGAAGGACAAAAGCCAGCTGATATTAAAAAGCCATGATATTCCCCTCCCACTTAAAAGCTCCAAATTTTGACGAAAAAACAGCAGAAGATTTGGGGGGATCGAGCTTCTTCTCTTCTCTCTCCACAAAGAAAGAGAGCAAGCTAGAGAGAGAGAGAGAGAGAGAGAGAGAGAGATGTCAACTCCAGCAAGAAAGAGGCTGATGAGGGATTTCAAGAGGATGCAGCAGGATCCTCCCGCTGGCATCAGTGGAGCTCCGCACGACAACAACATCGTGCTGTGGAACGCAGTTATTTTTGGGTAATTTCAATTCCTCAAAGAGAGAAAAATTGATCTTTTTGCGCTTCTGCTAATCAATTTGGTGTTTTGAATTGTTTGGGTACTGATGGGTTTTGTGGTTTGTTGGTTGTAGACCCGATGAGACTCCATGGGATGGAGGTGAGTTCATCATTAAGATTCCTTTATTTGTTTATTTTTTTCAACAATTATTTTTAGTTGAATGTAAGTGATTGGATTCATGTTGCTATCTTAATTGATATGGACCACCAATTTATGCTGTTGTTCTTAGATGGATATATGTTGATGTTCAAATTGATTGTTTGAGGTGATACACTCACCATATCCTGTAAAAATCCAAACCCAAAACCAAGAAATGAAGATTCTTGATTGAATGTGGATCCACATTCTATAGAACTATTGGATCAATTCCAATTCAAAAGCCCCGAATACGAAGGAATTGGATTTCATAAGATCACGAGTCTAACAGAACAATGACAATTATGCTTCTCATGTTTACTTTACTTGCTAGAAATATGGTGATTCAGCGTCTCTCTCCATCTGTAAAAGAACACCGAGAGTTTGAGGAGGAGGAGGAGGGGGGTTAGATATAATCATGTACAGTGATGTCAATCATCTCCATCCTCTCTCCGTCATGACGAAGCGTGGACCTTCATGCTCTCTCCATCCTCTCTCTATCATGGCCAGCATCGGCCTCCATCATCTCTCCATGCTCTATACATCCTCTCTCCATCCTATGCTCCAATGGTGATCGCGCAAAGTGCTTTGTACGAGCCTATCAGTGAGAATTATGCCGCGAAACATACTTGGACATACTGACTACTCCAATGGTGATCAGGCAAAGTGCTTTGTACGTTCCTATCAGTGAGAATTATGTCGGGGAATGTGCTTGGACATACCGACAGAGGAGTTGATTACGCGACGTGTCTTGTTAAGCTTTGTAATCAAAGGGAGGTTCTTGTTGTGCGCAGCGGAAATTTTGGCAGTACTTCTAGTGCACAACAAGAGAGTAAATCTCAATTAAGTCTCTGTTTTACAAAGGAAACAAGAACCGAAAGTGATGTATCTCAACAAAGTGGGATATACACTCTTCCTCTCATCAGTTCTAGGACTGACTTGTCGAGGGAACCTAAATAAGCTATTACAAATCACTGCAAGACGACGAATTTTATATGGTTCGGCAAGTTACCTACGTCCACGGGGCAAGGAGGGGGAGATCTACTATTAGAGAGAGAATACAAATAGGGTTTACAATCATACAAGGTCTCATAAATTAAACCTTCAAACAATCTCTCAAAACTCTCACAAAAGGACAACCGTCAAGCCTCTGCCGTTTTACCCCTGTTGCACGTAGCCCAAAGAACAATCTACTGTGTTTTTTTCTTTTGCTTGCACGCCGCCCAACACCTGCGTTTTCCCTCGCTGCCTCGCACGAAACCATAGGCACTCAAGTTGGGTATTTATAACCTAGTGATGCGGTTAAAATAAATATAAAATTGGGCCTCCTCTTTTGTCCGCTGGACTCAGTGCCCGCGAAGCACGCATGGGCGTGGCCCCCACGTGAACCCCACGTTCACTTCTCCAACATCGTGGCCCCCACACGCTTTGCCTCCCAACAATTCTCCACCTCGGTGAAGTTTTCATCCAAAACTGAGTCGACACCAACCAAATCAAATATCTCACTTGTTACGTCCAGTACAAAGTGAAACAATTCACGACAACGGATTCTATCCACAACAAGTCGAGAAACCAAATGAGAATGCGAATAAACTCCAAACGTCAGTATTTACTTCCAAATCGGTTGTATCATAAATGACTGCCTACGTATCCCCTTGTCCAAGGAATCAAGCCTTCACGTAGTTCACCCAAATGGCCGCGAACGACTTTAATCAACTAGAAGAGTTTGGAACCCTTCTCCAACATCACCAATAAATCTGCGGCTGATAGCTCTCCTAATGGCCCCAAAGCGAAACAAACCAAACACCTCCTGAGATGAACTAACGGTCATAACCAAATCTGAGCTATGTCTACCAGTTACACTCGAATCAACCAACTCATCATCTGCATCCAAAACAACATGATTTCTAATCTGTGTCATCTCAGCTAGAATCACAAACGATGCAGTATGATCTGGAGTATGTGGAGTAATCTTCACCCAATGTGAAGTAACATCATCCTCCATCCGCTACGACATCCCAATGACCTGATCAACACTCTCCACCTGTCAAGAATCAAATGTGACATACCTGTTCAGAACAAAATCAGAAGCTCTCAACTGATAGCCAAACGAGTTTCTGAATCCTAAACATGCAATCGGATCAACTTTCACATTCACGATGTGACTAAGTGCTGGGTAACCAAATATCCGACGCAACCCAAAATCTGAAGCAGCTCTACCAGATCTAAAATCTCCAAACGCAACAGTCGACAACCTATGACGAAGATGTCCCAAACATGTTGAAGCCCGATCATCATAACCAGTGCTCGACATCAAACGCCGATCCTCCTCCAGCAAGGAACAGCTCACCAAATCCGCCACCTCATCTCGTCGTCCTAATGTTTCCTCTCTAATGAAGTGTCTCCAACTACCGTGAGTTCGGTACAAACGTAAAAAAGAACCCCTACCTAAAACAGAACAACAGGTTACCTTTCTGCCAACACATTTCTTCCAATTGTTATTGACTTCTAGGACTTCACACCAACGGGACTTGGTTGTAACCCACCAATGTCTAGAACAGTCACCAACATAGAAAACTATATATCTATTATCTTCCAATGATGCCCCTTTGGTAGGCCACCAAATGCCTGAATGAACACCCCTTAAAAGACCCCTCGATCGATGGATAGAAGTGTCAAACTTCAACTCGATCTTCTCGCTCATACCAATGTGTTTATAGGACTTTAAATTGCAGGTCAAAGCACTCATCAACAAACAATGCACGGTACCCATAACCAAATATCCCAGCCTCAACAAACGTCACAGTCTAGCCAAATCCAATGAAGTCGTCAACTCTCTATCAATCACCGTGCTTCCAAGTAAATAATATAAATTACTCTTTCTGACGTCCTTCATCACAATCATGGACCCTAATGTGACCTTCAAACGTGCATCCACCAAGGTCACCCTATAGCCTGTTGCCTCCAAAGCTCCAATTGAAATGATATTTTTCTTCAACTGAGAAACAAACCTTACTTCATCCAACTCCCGAATCATCACGTCACTCATCCGAATACGAACGGTATCAATACCACCAATAGAACATGCATGTTCATTACCCATGAGCACGATATCCCCTCTTTTCAACTCCTGAAAGCTGGAGAACCAATCCCTCCTAGGACAAATGTGGTAAGAAGCACCCGAATCCAAGGTTGCTGATAGCGAATCGCGACGCATCGCGGCGAGGTACCGCTAAGGCTATATCGGGCTATTGCGACGAAATCGCGGTAAATAGCGTACAGTCAAATAGCGGTTAAATTTAAATATATTTAAATATCCTAAATAATAAGAAAATTCATAAAAAAATCTAAAAATTCAATTAGTTGTAAATTTCTTGTATTATCAGTAAATAACAATTAGTAGGCTTGTTGTATGAATGAAACTATGAAGAAATTCAAGAAATATAGCATCATAATATGTGTGATAGCGGGTTTAGCCGCCTTTAACCGCGAAAATCCACTTTAAACCGTGAAAATCCGCTTTTAACCGTGAAAACCCGCTTTTAACCCGTTAAAATCCGTTTTTACGCGCTATTCGAATGAATAACGTATTTTCCCGCTTAAGTCAGTCGCGAAACCCCTACGCGTAGCGTTGAAGGGCCGCGACTGCTATTCGCGCCGCTATAGCCCCGCTATTTACAACACTTCCCGAATCTAACATCCACTCTGTAGAGTTGACAACACAAATTGATGGTAGTGCAGATAACGAATAGCCTGAAGAATCCGAATCTGAATTGTTGTCACTAGACTTGACAACATTCACCTCTGAAGCTTGTACAGCTTTCCCTTTATTCTTCCCGGCTCGATTTAACTTTGGGCATTCGGCTTTTTAATATTCATCATCTTTACAAAAGGTACACTGATTTTTACGAACTGCAAAATATGCACCTCTAGACTACGTGATGCGAAACGAAACAGGGGGTCTATTAGAATCAGCGATCTAATTTGAACAAAGCATCGTTTCGCCAAAATTCATAATATTCGGTAGGAAATTAATTTAAAAACAATTAATGTGACAGATGGATTTTAATAAGTTGCATCGACAGTCATAAACAATCCCAATCTCGAATAATTTAATTACAATATTCATTATCATTGCACAAGTTTTACAATCAATATCAAGTTTTAACAATCACATGTTCAGTTTCTCTCAACTCACAATTATACTTTAAACAGTGAATATATGATAAGAGTTTAGAGATGTATTATTCATGCAATTAACTAACAAAATGAAATCAACAGAAAAATAAGGGACGAAAGAAAACGAAACCTTCGTCGGTCTGAACAGACTCGACGTGAGAGATCTCTGGAGGTGGGGCGACAACGGTGAACTGAACGACGATGACGAGGCGGAGATCTGACGACGACGAGTGCGACGGTGTTGAACTGATAACGATGTGGTGACGAATCTAAACGACGAAGGTGGCGGCAATTCTGAGCAGTGACTAGAGTGACAGCGTCGGTAAGGTTGACGGGACGATAGCGATGTGATGATTTTTGGTAAGCGGCTGTTGCAGTGGTAGTATTGCTCTGGTAGAGAATTTTGCCAAACAGTTGGTGTACATGAAGGCGACAGTTGCTGGGAAAGGAGGCTCGATGACAGTGGGAATAGAGCGGCTGCTTGGGAGGAGTTGATGGCGTTGGTGGTGCGGAGGTGGAGATCAGGGGCGAGCTGAGTGTGGATCTGGTGGTTGCAGGGAAGAGGAGGGTTTGACTGATTGTTAACGTGGGGAAGACGAGGGAATGCTTGGCGACTGGAGGAAGAGGACACAGGGAACGGCCTAGGGTTTCACACCCGAGACCTAGGTTTCACACCCAAGACTTCACACCAGATTTTAGCTAATACAATTTTTCATTCAATAATTCATTGATTTTTAATAGTCTCATACAATCTTATTTATATAAAAAAAACTACGTGCACACAA